CCACCTAGTAGGGCATCCACGGTAGCAATCGCTCAGTACTGACTTTTTCAAGAATCTGGTACCACTCAGAGTTATGAAGCGGATTCTGCACCTGGTAGGTCACTGTGCTTCTTACTTCATTGCTCAACGTTTTAATTTATCCATCAGCTCCGGACCTTCCCAGTACGTTCACCATCTGTGTTTCGAGCATTGAGACAAACAAAACCTGAAACATGGGGTAGGAGGAGGCGGCTCAGACCAACTCCCTACGAATGTGCTCCGTCTCTGTGGGTTCCCTTTTATTTCCACGAGATCTATGTACCTCATGTTGCCTAAAATACTAGCGCGCTCTGTTAAAGGACTTGATGCGTAAGTAATATTTGAAAATCTCAGGCCTCATCATCAAGGCGATTTTGAGCTAAAACGGCCATCATCTAGGAATGGGCATAAACAAATCGTATTTTATCAAAGTGGCGTTGGTTCTGAAGCGACCTTCGCGGGTGACCCGGTGACTGGCACGACTGCAATGCGTACGTTACGGTTGTTAAAACTTATCAATTGATGCACTTCACTGATGATAATTCTAGAGGCCTTGGGAACCGCCGTTGGTATGTGCATGCCTTCATCCATCCGGTTCGTTACAACTTCGAACTCGATATTTCCACAGCAAGCAAAATACGCGACGCCTATGCTTTTATTGCCCAGAACTTTGAGGACGGAGATGAAATATGTCTTTTCGGGTAAGACCTAATCTCTTTCCCGAACCGCGGTGACAGATGATTTGATTGTATTTCGTAGATTTTCCAGGTAATCAATTTGATATTTCTGCATTCGGAATGCCATCTTTACCTTGACGACGACAGAGGCGCTTACACTGTTAGAAAGCTATCTGGATTGATTGTATGGACTGATTATTATCCCAACGACTGACATATATATGTAACTTACCTCTCTAACTCCAGGATGCGATTGGTTTGTTGAGTCGCCACAACCTTGGTCATTTCTTCGAGATTTGGCTTCAGCTCATCTCCGAGGAAACACCAACTATCCCAGATGATACCCGGCACCCCACTATCAAGTAGGATGATATCTTATGACCACGTTACTAAATTTTACTCACGATTCGGACCAGATGCGTTGGGGTCTGGGATACCGTCGGCTCTATCTACAATGAAATCGACGCCTTGAACATTGCCGATACGAGTCTTCCTAAGACGGTCGAGGTTGCTCTTCACGCGGTCTCTCTTCAAGAAAACCGAGAGAAGTTTCTTCCTACTCTGTGGTCCATTCCGAAGGCAGGACTGCAACCTAAACAAATATTCAAAGAAGTAAAGACTGTCGTTTCCAAATTTGCTCCGATTGTTGATCTGGTTCTAGGTTTGGTTTGCGGGTGCTCACTCTGACGTTGGCGGAGGGTATGAGCGCCATGAGCTGGCCGATATTAGTCTCTATTGGATGACTGTGCGTTCGGTTTGCTTGTGCATTTATCCTTCATTGATTGTTTGTCAGGGAGAAATCCAGTCCTTCATTAGTCTGGACCTTGAATTCCTACGATCCTATGCCCAAAGCAAACCTGATCCTTGGGGAACGTCTCAGCCAAACAACGCCTATGAGCTTACCCCTATTATAGAACGACCAATTGTGGGACACGAAACACGTCTTGAGAGCCATCAAATCACCGAACAATCTGTCTTCCATGAGAGCATCAAATATTCCCCTCAGGATCTCGAATACCCTGACTACATGGTTACCATGACTGTCATTAAGCAGGCGTTTGGTTCTGGATTTCAACCTCAATATCCGCCCCTGAACGAGTTCGAACAGTACTGCAAGGATAATTGGGGAAAAGGAGTACGTCACCCTTTGAGTTCAATCGGTGTTTGTGTTGACCCTTTATGCTAGCAACCAAAATTCTCGAATCCTGGCAAGGACGATCCTCGTATTGTTATCGGAAGTCCTCGCTCTGCCAATTAGCTGATCCAAAGTTGATCAACCAAAGACAGTCCACGAGGTGTATTTTTACAGCAATATACTCGCCAGCACGAGGTGGCTCAGGCTCAAAGACTGCTCCGCTGTGGACTGACTCACTTGGTGGAAACTTCGTCTGGATACGATTAATGCAAAGAGTAGCGTATGTAGCGCTGAGGAAACTATAAATACATAATGTGACAAGATACCCTGGGATATCTAGATGGCATGAATAGAGATTCCTACCATGTTCATGACTATGAAGCATCCACCGCGAAGCTGAGTCTAACACCAGCCGTTCATTATTCGGTCTAGTTGCTACCACAACGAAGTGTCGTTACCGACGCCGCAGCTCTCTTGCAAGGCGCCAACAAAGAATGAATGCAATCAAAGCCGAGACACCGCCCAACCTACAGAGACACAGGCACCCATCATGCTTCAGCAGGCTGAGATGCATAGAACACGTATGGACTCACCGGAAGATATACACAACGGAATTGGACTGCCCACCCCTATCCGCCATCTCCTCCTCGATTGCAAGGTTATCTGCCTCCCTCAATAACATACGAACGACAGCCTCCGTAGTATTAGAGGTTGAACCCGCAGCGATAGTGGGCGCAGCTTGTGGTGGTGGCGGTGGTGGGAGAATGTGGCCCTGTGGTTGCACGGGGTCGAAGATGGCGAATATCACCGCCGATAGCCCTGTCACCAAAAACTGAGGGACAACAATGGATACATTGTGTATGCCCTGAGATGGCATATTCCAGTAAGTCGGGCGCCTAGTTTATGCCAATGGATAAACTTACGAGGATAATCCCAGCTTTAGCGCTCAGCCCTCCTCCGCTAACATTAGCACCGCCACCAGCCCCATCGACATTCCGCTCCCCTCCGACATTCTCCCATTCTCCATCGTCGTTGTCGAGCTGGAGTTGGAGCCTGCTCATGCGCGCGTGATGATTACCGAGTACGTTCCGTTTTAGAGCGAGCGGCTCATCGACACGAAGGTCGGACTCGTCGTCTGAAGCAGTACCTCGGTGCTCCTCTGAGCCATGGAGGAACACGGCGGTCTCCCCGGCCGCCTCGGGATCGTCGACGGGAGTGCGTGCGTCGGAAAGGAGGATGGAGTTGCGTGCAGTGGACGTGGGGTCTGGAGTGGTGAGAATGGCTTCTGCGAGCTTTACGAGAGATGAGGACCGGTGTCAGTACAGGGCAGAAAGAATGGACGCACGAGGGAGAACGGCGCCCATTGTGTGATCGCCCAGGAGAATCCAGTAACGCTGATGAGGATTGTAGCACCCACCACGGATTCGGTGAACCTGGAATCCAGTCAGCTTCAACACAGGAACATGAAGGAGCAGGGAAAGACGCACAGGGTGGCAAACATACACATCGCCAGTACCAGGTGACTCATAGCCCAGAGACTGCCCAAGTTCACCTTGATTCGGTCGGGGATACGCAACCACGCCCAGGGGCCTTCCGCTTCTGGGGATCTCATACCCGAGCGTGAGTCTGCGCGTTGCCGCTGCGTGCGAGTGCGAGTGGCTGACGTAGCGACGAAAGCGGGGAGCACGACGTTAAGGACGAGAGCAACGACCGACGAATAAAAGAGTGCCCGGGTGCCGAGACGCGTGGCCTCGGCATCGCGTTCGGTGGGCGTGATGGTTGTGGAAGTCGGTGTGGATCGTCTGTAGAGGTCTCCAATGTATATAGTGCTGTAAAATAGTATTGGGAACCATGCGATCCATGCACTACGAGATTGGTTTAGCCAGAGCCAGAGAAAAGAAGACGCGAGTCGCACAAGAATTGTATGATGCACTGTATACACGATCAGACGCAATGATCATAGGGGGCGTGAGGGAAAGCTTACTATCTGACGGATCGTCGGCGGGAGGGTAAGGATATTAGACCACAACTCCCTAATCTCACGAAGAAAGTGGTTGGATCGTTTGGGTAATGCATGCTCCTTCAGGAGCACGCGTTCCTTGACGAGGATAGCCATGGTAGCGTGGCCGGCGAGAAGGAGAATCGACACGATGACACTGAGGACCTCGAGCTCCGTCGTTCCCAGAAAAGGAAACATCGCAGGCAGAGGGATAGTCCCCACAAAGAACCCTACTACAGCGCCAATGCCGAGCATGCGTGCTGCCCATGCATTTCCCGACGATTGCGCGGCGGGCGGCAACGTGTCGACGAGAAGGGCGCGGTCCATGGCCATAACCGCGTTGATTGAGAAATCTATGAGGTATATAGAGAGGACAGCTAGGGCGATGGTCAATGTTGTGTTACTTGGCGAATCCCGCGTCGTGAAGATTGACGCAAAGTCCCGTGTGTATCCTAAAAGCAACATGGCAAGGATACAAACAACGGTCCCAGCCATCATGAAGGGCCGCCGCCGTCCGAAACGCGAGGTAGACGCGTCTGCCAACACACCAATGATTGGCTGCATGAACAGCCCGGAAAGTGGCCCTGCAAGAAATACCAAGGACATGGCCGACTTGGAGAGCCCAAGGGAAAGAAGATACGGTGACGCGTATCCCATTTCGACAGACCAGAATATCTGGACGCCGAGCAGTCCAACTGTGATGACAGGTAGATGTGTCCATTTGGGCCCAACGATGAAGGCTTTCCCAGCGAACTTTTGCGTACTAGACGGCCCATCGAGCGGAAGAGGAGTGAAGCCCGTCATGAAATCTATATGGTAGTTATAGTGTGTATCAACCTTGTATAGACCCATTACGCACCTAGTTGATTATACTGCCACCAATCAGCCTGCAAGTAGCTCCACCTTTGGCAAAATGGTTTCTAGAGGTGTGACAGAGTCAATTGGGTGTTTCTGGTACCATACCGCGACGGACCCTTTGGCAGTTTTGAGCTTCTATGCAGCTAACGAGAAATCAAGGATAGTTGAAAACTTGTAGAAAAGAAATTCACCTTTATAGTTTTGACATGACGATGCGCAGCGAAGTTAAGGAGAGGGTCGTCAACGCGGGGCGGGGTTTGGTCAACCAAAATATTGATCACGTTACATTTTTAACGTTGAGATAAGCTTACATGTCTCGATAGCTAAGTGGTATAGCATGCGATTGCAGATCGCAGGGTCCGGTGTTCGAACCACCGTCGGGACTGGGTGTGTTTTTGCTTCTGAGCCCCCGACGCGGTTGCAACACAGTTGATCATACTTCATCGATACAATCATGCAAGTACATAGCTTCTACGTAGCAC